TCATTCTAGGAGGTAGCCATATAGGTCATACACTTTATTTGGAATGACGATATCAGAGAACGCTTCGCATTTAACTTTCTCTAAACTTTATGGGGAAACTCGAGATTATAATATCTAGTAAAATGAGCTGTGTTAGATTAGATTTTCTCTCGACGAGATCGAGAAAGGGGTCTCGACTCTTGCAATAACAACCTGATGCAGCACTGCGTTCGAAATAGTGTTGAGTAGGACTTACACGAGGCGGTACATTTGTCCCGGACATGACGTCAAAATGTAAGAGCGGCTCAAAATTTTAAAATGTACTACTTCACATTAAATGTCGCGATAGTCGCGTCTCGTTACTCACTCACTCTTCGTAAGTCTGAGAGAGAGCGAGGCATGACATTTCATTTAAGTCCTCTATTCACTATCCATCTGTATCTCTATCTCTTTTACGTGTATAGCGCTGTCCTGCATGCTGGATGCAGCAAGATTGATAGTGCGTAGAGGAGGTGCTACTCGTCGAGCTTCTGCCTCGCCTCATTTGAAGTGGGACATTGTACTGGCTCAGTACAAAAAAGAGGCTACTCTTACAAACTCTTTTTCAAGTCGTGTCCTACCCAACACTAGTTCGAAACGGCTATCCCGTTAGTGGCAGATAATCTCAGGAGCTATTGAGTAACGGTATAAAGTGTTTGGTTAAGAGCTTGCCGAGCAAGCGGAGGCGGCGTAGCGTAGCGTGCCCGTCAACAGAAGCCTTGCAAGCACGATCGATATCACATAACGTGGGAATAGAACGTTAGATCTATTTAGAAAACCTTCCGTAGTAAAATACGGCTGCTCTGCTGATTCATGGATTTGTATCTATCATCCTCTAACGGCCATTGATTGATTGGTTACCTATATAACATTCTCTGAAGAAATAAATGGCGTGGAGGCTTTGTAGCATGACGACGATTTGTTTTCCTTTTCAAACAAATGAAGTTATAATATAATATTAAATACTCATGACAGGAACATAACTACTAAAGAGAAGCATTGCAGTTCAATAGATATAACAAATCTGTAAAAATGTTACGATGAATCGTATGAATTTAATCTGGCAAAGCTAAGTAAACAGGTAATAGAAGAAGACGTTAATTAGTAAAAAAAATCACATAAATACACATGTCATTTTTTATTACGAAAATTTAGCCGTACATCTTTGATATGTTGACAGACAGTTAAACGACGTCAATCATTTAATACGGTGCTGAGTCACGTTTTCGGATTCACTTTCACTACTAATAACTAATATTTTGAAAGCGATCAAGTGCATAATTAAGTTAAATCTAGTGAACGTTCGTTAGTCCAATATTTCACTTTGAAATTATCGCTGATAAGTAGGTGCCTATTCGAAATGATCTGCTGTCTGTCGTGAAAACAAAAAACGCTTAAAAATTTGAAATTGTACCTGTAGTGATTCTCACTTGTTTTAAATAAATAACAAAGTAAGCACCTGAAACCGAATAGAAACACCCAGACCCGGAGGTCTACTCTATTTCAACGAAAAACGAAATTTCGATCGAAATTTGCACGTTCCTTACTCTGTTTCCTTTTCATTTCGAAAATTCGTTCGTCGGAAAATATTTGACAATTAAATTCTCCAAGCCTACTCTAATTCATAAAACTTTCGAACAAAAAGTTGAATTTGACAGATAATTAATTGTTCAAAATTTTAACCTCAAATTGACGAAATGAAAAGTGAGCCTTTTCGTTTTGAGATTTATGTTTTAATTATGCCTAAAATGCTTGCAAGAGTATTTTTTATCAAGGCTGCTTAGCTCGAGAAACATTTTTTATCATGTAAAATTAACAAATAAACCATTTTTTTTATTATTTATTGTAACTCTAATACTTCAAAGTAATAAACGACAAATTTAGGTTGACTTGACATACAATAGATTCTATCAACTTTACATATTAGTCGGCTAACACTGCCAAAGAATGTTTTTTCAATGTCAATAAAAAAAAAATATATTATTTCCAAGTAAAAAAACGTAATCTCAAAAGTGGACATAAAAAGAACACACAAACATGACTCATTCCATTCGAAAACTGTTTATGGTTCCGAATTTTATGTGCCTGTTCGAAAATGAGAAAGAGTAGAGTCAGTGGCGAAATTTCGTTTAAAATTCGTTCGTTACCGAAATTTCGTTTCGGAGAAACAGAGTAAAGCTCCTGAGACTAATGAGAAAAAATTGTTTAGACATGTACTTCATGGCAAAAGAATCTATAGTCCGTTGGATCATAATGATTAATCAACGTACTTAAGTTCCTAATTTATAGATGTATTTTTAGATAAAATCATCCGTGTACTTTCAAATTTCCGAGCTCTAAATTGTTTCACGAGCTTGTCATCTAGAACGTTCACAGCCAATTAGTCAGGTGCATTATTTAATATAACGGCACCTCTCAAATCCCTAATTATAATAGGTACTAAAAGACTCATGATTTTGTGTAATTTGTGTTATATGGCAAGTAACTCAATATAAAATAAAATATTTATTAGTAACTATAAGAATTATGTCTTACATCGATGTGGTTTAGATTATAACTAACTAATACTAAAAGAATTCAAGCTATATAATGAATGAGTCCTCAGAAAGCTAAATAAAACTATTACCCTAATGACTATACAAACGTTCAAAGGACTCTGGAAAGTTTAGATGACTCGATACAATGCAAATGAAGTAATTAGTAAAAAAGATGTGAGTGGTTTTAGTAAATAATAGATATCTTAACTTAGGAACATGAGAACTATAGATAACATGGTTTTAAGATAATTAACGAACATTACAAATGAGTTTCATAAACAAAAGATATGGTATTAACATAATAGGGGTATAACATAACACTTGTATGAAAAATAAATAACATCTATATTTAAAAATTTAATAAATATGTCATCCGTCTTGATTTCAGGCATACGACACCCATTTAACAGGCTTTATAATATTTGTTTCTTAGGTTTTCACGCACATCACTCATTAAATAAAACTAGTTTAAACGTCAATAAATAAATAAAGTTTCGTGCATTAACCCGTGAAAAACTAGTTTTTCAGCAGCATTATAAAGCTTTGATCAAAAAGAAGAATCTGCAACCGAATGAAACCGAAAGAAAATGCAAATTAAGAATTTTCCCCTTTAAGAATTTCCATACAGATCGATCCAGCACTGACCCCAACCAGCGTCCTTCATCAGATGTTCGGAGGCTTACCCCTGAGAATCGTCCCGTTGTTCACAGTCGTCATTCTAGGACGTTTCCGCTCCAGTCTCCAACGGCTGTCGGTTCTCTGCGCTGTATCCCACCCATTGTCACTTCAACTTAGGAATTGTTTCCCGGTCTTTCTCTGTTACTTTATAGTTCTCCTGCGGCTTACCGATACTGATTCTATTGCTCAGGGAAATACCGAGCTTTCTAGCTTTATTGCTTGCTGTGAGACTTTCTCATCAGACCCATAGTAAAAGACTAGTCTCGTAGATCACCACTGGCAACACACAATGGTCAAAGTCCTTTATCTTGTAACATTGAGATAGTTGTAAAATGTGTTTGTTAATTGATAATTAATATGGTGGTGAAATTTTGCAGTTTTAGGGCACTCAATCTTAGCCCTGATTATATATCAGGACTAAAATCGTTATTTTAATAAAGAACGTTAAAATATAAATTCGATCTATGCAAAGCTTGTGATTAACTTAAAGTTGGACGTGCATTCACTATGGCTTTGTTTGTGTTGCAAGACGTGCTATTAAAATTCATGATATTTATACGCAATAATGATGGAAAATAGCGTACTAATTATACTTAGGTGTGAACGGTGACAAGGTTACAATACCGTTTTAAAGATTTACACTAGATAAACAAAATAAAATTTGTTTGTGGGGTCGCGGCTCAGCCTGTTGTGGACTTTTTTCTCAAGTATTTCCATCTCTTTCTCAAGTGTTAGAATTGGAATTGGAGTAAGTGAGATAAATGAGCACGTGTTATGGTGGGGTTCGGATATCCGTGTTTCCGTTGACTAGCAGCGCGTGACTGCGATTTCCGCTGAATGCCCACATAGGGTGCCCATATATTACCTGGTCTGTTTTAACTGGATGACGTCATGATGTGCTCCTGATGTGAAACACTTAATTTCTGATCGATACAAATATATTAATTCTTGAGCGTGTGTTGCACCAACTTACTTTATCTCTTTAGTTAAAGTACCGGTTAGGTAAAAAATGGGTTGCACCATTTGACGATAGTCAAAATGAGGTCATAATTTGTCATTGACAATTAACAGTCCAAGTGAAAGCTAATAAAATGTAACTTTACCTTTAACTAGTTCTGTGGTGCAACTCACACTAAGTTAAATAGCGGTTCACTAGCTGCACTGTGGGTAGCACAACTAACAAAGTAATTATTTGTAATTATAATCAATAAAACGCGATAGTAACATGTTCGAGGCGTCAGAGCGATTGTGGTGTTTATTGCAACGCAACGTGGGAAGATGTATTGGTATTGATTCAATATTGCATTTGCTTAGAAACGGATAAGTTGGATCAATATTTGCTACGAAACGGCAGCGACGTTCTTCGCTCGCGTATCCCTTTGGGGATAATTTAGTTCTTTCGACATTCATTGAAGGTCTGGTATTATATAATAGGTAGGTTAGGTGAAGTACTATATCGCTCCAGTAAAGAGATAAGCATAATCGACATAATAATCTAAGTTATATGAGTAATTTAATACTGTTTGCAGCAGTGCATGATTGTAGAGAATAGGTATGTTTGATAAAATGAATGCGACGATTGATGGTCGATACTATCGAAATAAAATTACTAAATAATCTTAGTAATTGATCTGTAACTTTACCTAAAGCACCGCACTTAACCGAACAAAGTTATGAAAAGAAAGAAATAAAATTCGTAGGTATGTATGAAATTGAAAAACTGTATTTATTACATAAAAAAGATATTAAATATACAAACACAATACACTTCACATACTCAAATTTGGCGTCGGTTACCGAAGGAGATGCCGGTTTGCTGGCCTTTGTTCGTTCCGTACTGCAGCGATATGACGTTCTGGCCGGACTTCAACTGTTCTTCGGAAAATTGTCTGACATTCTTGTCAGCTTCCTTGGGTCCGATAGACGGTTTGCCATAGTTGCCCGCTTTCCTACCCAAAGACTGCAGGCAGATCAGAACCGAGTACAGGTTCTGCTTCTCCCAAAGATCGATGGTCTGGAAAGTCTCTTGCGGGGGCACGCCCAACTTCTTCGCCGCTTCCAAGAAAGCGTTGATGTTTTCCATACACTTGAACGCCATGGTTGATTGGTTGATTTTCTTCACCGAACCTTCTTGGATCGCGTTGACGAGTTTGCAGAGGAGCGTGCCATCTTTCAAGACTTCGTAGATGTTGTCGGCGCTCCCAGTGGTGTCGGCGGGTTCGCCAGTCAGCACCTTGACCCACTCGAGTATTTCGTGTCCGATATCGTCGTTGTACTTGCTGTTGATACGCGCCTGGGCGTCGGCGTTGATCCCCGCTTTTCCAGCGCGATATTCAGCCATATTGTGTGTTCTCAGGTATGCAGACGGCCAACCACTGAACTTCTGATGATAAGGATTGTCGTAGTATCAGCAACACTCTTGATAGCATTTATCGTATTTTCCTCGGGCGTACAGTTTATTGGAATTTATCGTTTTGCCTTATCTGGCTAGCTTGTAAATGATTACTTACCTATTATTGCAACAATAAAAGGCCATAGTATCCGTCAATGATTTCTAGGTACATTACGTAGTAAAACTAAATTTTACTTAGCAACATGGACCATTTTCATAGCATCCATTTATGCAACATTATAAATTCTTTAAGAATGTTTATTTAAAAACGAAATGAGACCAGTTTCCCGATATTATGATGATAGTATGCTTATTGCAGTATTAATATAAATTAATAATAAATTCGGAATTTTCTAGAAAATAATCATTATTATCGTTAATATTGAAGATAACATAATACTATCGTATCGAGTTAGCAATAAAGGAATTTGATATAAGAAACGGTTTTGATCATATTATTTTATTGATCATCAAATATTTAGATCTTTGATGATTAAGATTGTATCTATAACGACTCATACATATTGATTATTCTTATTTTGATTTTGCACGATTATGAAAATCTTCGAATTTGCAGAATATTCTTCATGTTACAAAAGAAAGTTTCCTGTAGTGATGCAGTTGGAGGATGGGATCAGGGTAGGGTGCCGTACGAGCAGTATTCCAAGCATTTTGGTATATAAGCGTCTAGCTACGGTAGCCGCTAACTATCAGGCGACGAATCGGAAACTTTCACTATGATATTCAATAACAGATTGTCTTGTTTTAACAGTCAGGGGCGTATTTACCATGGGGCCAAGAGGGCCATGGCCCGAGGCGACAGGCTGTGAGGGGCGGCAGAAGACATATAGATATTGGGAAGTCTCGATGACCTCGATGATTACAAGCCAGCGACTTCGCTAGCAGCTTGTATCTCGCCCCGCGTCGTCCGCTTTTTTACAATCTGCTTATTATTAGCGAACTCGCTAGTTTGTAAACTCGGCCTGTCATCCAGGCTTTACTGCCCAATATTTTGATTTGGGTTTCAAATCTAGGGAACGGGGTGGAAATTGTAAGTGGCCTGCGCCAAACAGGGACAGGGCCTGTTTACCGGTTAATTTTGAAACCTCAATCAGTGTCAAGTACATTAGCGTTATATTTAGGTTTGGCTTTACCTTAACCTTAAAAAACCGGTTTTCCTAAAGAGCGAAATCAAATAGGTTTTGAATCAATTTAGCGGTTTTTAAAGGGCTTCATTTTGATCTATCTGACGGCATCGATAATAAATGAATAACTTGACTCACTAGACGCTAGCAAACGTATCAATAAATGCATCAATCTCTGAGCATTAACAAGTTGTGACTGGATTAGTTCAAACAAAACAAACTTCAAGTGATGCCGACGCGTGCACGTGTCGCTCTGGATTAAACCGGTTTATTAAGGTTTTAGGTACCGCTTTTATTTCGGACGCGCTCCGAACGAAACCTTTTCCCCAAAACCGGTATTAACCTTTATTTACCGGTATTTTCGAAACCGGTTTCAAGCCCTGGCGCCAGATATAAAGTATGCCCCTGTCAACAGTATTTGATGAAAAAGACAGGATTGTAAGAAGCCTCTCGTTCCATAAATTTATGACACCTAAAGTTTTGTATAAACCCACGCCACCACACACTGTTTTCAGTTGTGTTGAGGCCAATTGGTGGTGAAATGTTACAAAGTAGCCTTGTTTAGCGGCACAGATATGCAATTTTTATTGTGCGCCAAAACACAATGGTGTAGGTACTGGCAGGTTGTAGAGAACAAAGGCCCACTATCACAGGTCCGGCCCGATTACAATCATTGATATGATCATAGAAACAATCTTGCACAGATAACTGGTGCTTATCCTCAGAAACCAATTACGTGCGAGTGCGTTTGTTATAAGTGGAACATACTATTCAGATTTTCAATATTTTTTTATCAACTTTTTCAGCGGAAGAAAATCATTGAATGCGCCAACTATTCGCTTGCCTGTATAGACAGTTAAAGCCACAGAACACAGAAGGTTTCTGTGTTCTGCAGTAAGTCGTAACGATTCGGACAAAATATACGGACAGTGTCCAAATTGCCAGTTTATAATTTTTTTTTTTAAATTTTTATGGAATTATGGAAGTGGAAATTATTTATGTGGATTATATAGCATTTGTTTCCCTGTATACCCTTAGCGGAGAATCCCTTGGAGTACAGAATACAGTGGAAGCTCAGAGTGGTAGATAAGTTTTAACCTGTCTACAGAGATTTTATTCGGAAACCTGTAGACAACCTGTCACTTGCTATTATTTCCAGACAACTTCTTTGACTCAATTACGCATGATTAATGCCAAATATTTATATATGGTTTATAAGGTATTTTTTTATATATGGTTATGTGAGTGACGTTTACAATTTTTTTACTTTCCTACTGCACCACTGCTGGATAAAATATATTTAAAGTAGTTGTATATACACTGAAGGTTCGTATGTTATGTATGATGCACAAAACAATATTGTTTAGCTGCAGTACCATTCATTAGTTTTAGGGGGTGGCTAAATTTTGCGAATAATACTGTTAATAAAAATTACATCATTACAAAGGATCACTATAAAAAACGAAATATGTTCCGTGTAATGTTGTTGTCGTAGGAGGGCACTGTATTCCAACAGAAACATCAACTGTGCTAACAGCCTGATATGGTTTCATCCTACAAATATCACTAATATTACAAATCTGAAAGTTCGTATTATTTTTTACTCAATGCAAACCATTTATTATTTGGATTCATACCAGTTACTTATAAGTTTGTTTCCGAAACAAATGTTGGGTGGGATTATTATTGATAATTATAGAATATTATGTCTTTAATACATGTCTTATGATAAAGTGTGATCCAATCGGTATGGGTGCATGCGTCTTTTGTTACCTGCATGTACAAGGATAATTTAATTATCTTGCCGCTCGATGTTGACTTACTTTTATAATATATTGTAATTTAATAATATTTACTAGTGTTTAAAAATTCTATTTATTGTAACTAGTTGTACAGTGATTCTAGTGCACAAATAAACCTTTCTGGGTTTTTCGCACTATATGTATTAAAATAATTGTAACAGTACTTGATTAAATAAATAAATTTAAAAAAAAACGATATTTCCCAACTATTTCATTATTTGGTTGCCAAATGAAGTGGTCAGGTAATGTACCTAATTTTACTCATATGAAATTCTTTGGATTACAAAAATCAGTTTTCAATATTCAGTTTGAAGAAAGTATGAAGAGGTTAAAAAATATACCTAAGTCGTATGAATTCATTCATTGATTCATGAATAAAATAATTATAATTATTGAGAAATTCATTAATATTTCTCACATTATATAATGTTCTACAGCACAGATGTAGCAGACAAGACAAATATATTACATTGAAAAACTTAAATAAATAGATGTCTTTTACACAAACAAAGATTTTTATTATTTATGTATAACAATATTAAACCAATAAAATATCTGTATCCATAGGAATGCTTTAATACAATTTAGTATTAATAACACAGGTACAATTCATATTTTCAGATCAAACAAGTAAAATTCTAAACTACCTAATTAAGTTTGGAATATTATTGATTTTTCTTACAAAAACTTTTTAAAAAGCTTCATTGAGATACTACACTTTGAGATTCAAATAATCGTGTTTTATAAATAACATAGAAGATGCTGAAAGAGTTTGATAGTACAGTTATTTACTGTGCTTCTTTAGTGTGATGTAGAAGGTCAGCAGCTTTCACAAAAACTTATTATTGAACAAGTGACCAAAATATTATTATCTTAGGTTTCAATTTGAATGAGAAGAAATGTTAAACCACTGGTTTAGGGTGCATTTACTAACACCCAATTTACACGAATCCTCATTGGGTCAACGTAATAAGTTATGGACTGCGTCATGTTATGGACTGCGTCATAAGGCTACTATATATTCTTTAAGTTCTGTGCACTGCCATATAATACAGCTGGGGATATTATATATAGCAAGTTTCAACGGTAAAGATGTACTGATTTATTTACTTATTGACGTTGTTAGTAACAGGTACAGTAAGTCACTATGCTTCTTCAGTGTGATGTAGAAGATCAGCAGATTTCACAAAAACTTATTATTGAACAAGTGATCAAAATATTATTATCTTAGGTTTCAATTTGAATGAGAAGGAATGTTAAACCACTGGTTTAGGGTGCATTTACTAACACCCAATATACACAAATCCTCATTGGGTCAACGTAATAAGTTATGGACTGCGCCATAAGGCTACTCTATATTCATTAAGTTCTGTGCACTGCCATATAATACAGCTGGGGATATTATATATAGCAAGTTTCAACGGTAAAGATGTACTGATTTATTTATTAATTGACGTTTCACATCCTTTTCAGCGAATGTTGTCTACATAATGATTTTATTTACTGGAACTGAAACGTCAATCTATATATATAAAAATGAAACCCGTTTTCCGTTGTCACGACATAACATGAAAACGGCTTGACCAATTTGGCTGTTTTTTTTTTGTAGTTTTCTAATACTCTGTACAAGGTTCTTACGGAAAAAAATATAAAGAAAATCCCAAGGGGATAAAATAAGGAATGAAAGTTTGTATGAAACTTTATCAATTTTAAACCGATCGGGCTGAGACTTTGCATGCAGGTATAAGAAGAATCATAGATGAATGTCATTGTGTAGAATACAAGCCTGAGAACAAAAACTGTAGTCTACACTTCAGCTCTACACCGAAGCGAAGCGAGGGCGGGCCGCTAGTAAATAAATAAATCAGTGCATCTTTACCTTTGAAACTTGTTTTATTTAATGAGTGGTGTGCGTAAAACCCAAGAAACAAATGGGGATATTATGTTATAGTTGATTATAGATTTATAAATCTGGCCATTACTTTGTCGTTATTACACTGTTGCAGAATATGTGTTTTATGCAGTACATAAACATTTTTGTGCTAACCAATTTCATGAAGTGGTTGAAATGTTGCTGTAATTTTTGATCATTAGTCATATCTTATGCAGCATGAATAATATAGTTTCCAATTGCCCTTCAACTAGACTGGAAACTTTTCTATAATTAAAATTATATTAAATCATGATGTTTATTATTTATACTGATTATTTATTTAATATAGCATAGATTATATACTATTTTTGTAATTTCTCAATAAAAGAGAAAATAAAAATTGAAAATTCACTATAGTAATTATTAAGTAGTCACTAATGTTAGCACGAATTATATTTTCCTGCAAATTCAACTTAAGTGAGTTAAAAGTTTTTTAAGTGTAGTAAAGAACTTGGAAAGAGCTTAAAGACCATACTTTCGAAGTTGGATTAGATTTCAAAACTGTACAAATTAACGTAAAGTAAATAAGTATTTTCCTTAAGAATAATAGTTAAAATAAAGGTCTAAATATTGTATGTCATTGTTTAAGAAAAGTCAGGATTATTTTAGATAAATAACATCTTGTTTTTGTTCTAGCGGTAATGTTATTTTGGTGGGCCCACGGTATGAATATGCTGAAATCATAAAGCCAGCGTGAATGGCTGCTTTCTGATAAGATGATATTCAAATAAAAAATCTAAACGAAGGTGAACTTCGGTGTTCAAACTCTTATTTATCAGACTCAATAACATTGGAAACACTCACCAGACTTTATGATTTATGATAAAGTAATCCACGATACACAGTTTTTATATGATTAGTAATCAATAAGCATTGTATTAATCACAAAACACTTCACATTCACGAAGCAAACTTTTTACGCAGGCCGACCGGTCGCGCCACGAGCACGAGATATTTGTTGACAGCGCGCTATGAATGTAGCGATTCGTTCGGAACAGTGTTGCCAACCGTTAAATCAGCTTCCCACTAGATTCAACTTCTAGAAACACCAGAAATCCACTAACAAAAACCGACCCTACTATCAAAATCGCAAAATTTTCCACTAAATAAAATTTATGGTTGTTTCACTTTGGTATGATATGATTGTTTTGTACCAATTTGTTTTAATATGTTTAAAGGAATTTCATATTCGTTGCAGCATTTTCCTGTCTATCTTAAAACACAGCGTACTCTTAATATGGCAGTTAAGAGATTCAACTTCATTCTATTCCTCTGCTTATTTTTTATAACATTTATACTACTGAACTTTGCCTGTGTTGCCTACATAGTAAATACTCTTAAAATGAAATAGAAATTTATAATGTGGCTTCATAGTACAATGATCTTCTTCCTACTAATGAAATTGAATACTACGAAAACCACTAAACAAAACCACCAGCCACTAAATGCAATATCTCCCCACTAAAAGGGGGGTCAAAACCACCAGTTTTAGTGGAAAATCCACTAAGTTGGCAACACTGGTTCGGAAATTCATTGCTCTTCGCCCCACCACGTGACTGAGATGACATTTGTAAATACTTATTTCCTATTGGCCGGTTGCAGAAACGTGGCCGCTTAGTGATGTGACTGTGAATATCTAATGAAATATAAATATCGTCGATTGAGTAGGTCAATAGACAAAGTTGTATAAATTTTAAAAAAATAATACAAAATGTTTCTCATGATAAATAAAGCACTTTTCATTCACTTAGAAAACCAAATTTCGGTAAGGGCTGATTTTTAATTCTCAGATAAAACATATCTGCCAAATTAATTCCCTCGAGCTGTAGTTTCGGAATGGCGGACTAAACTTGTGACCGAAGTGGAGGGTTCTCTTGAGCGAGTCTCTGAATGGGGAAGTCAGGACCTTGTCTTGTTCAATCATAATAAGGGACGAGTTAGCACATTTGCTGCAAAAAAGGTTTCGTTTGCTGTCACACCAAAATTCCAAGGAGTTCCGCTACATAATTTCAATAGTGTTGGAATACTAGGTGTTGATATATCCAAACTGGCCGCTAAAAAGCTTGGAATTCTTAATCGGTCTAAGTAGGATTTCACGTCTAAGCAAAGGCTTTTGCTTTACAAAGCACAAATTAGGCCCCACATGAATGGCCTTTGGAACTGCATAGGGACTTTTGTTGCCTATGCGTATTGTTCGTTATTCATGGTGAGTGCTCCGCGGAATTGTTCTAGTTAATATCCCAGCACCTTTTTACCACTGCAACACCCGTCACTGGAGTTGAGTTCACGAATGTTACCTGGAAAGACTGAAGGCCACAACTGTCCGTTTCCAGAGATCTTTAATTCCACGAACAATAAAATTATGGAATGAGCTCCCCTCCAAGGCGTTCCTACAGTAATATAACATGGTCCGCTTCAAGAGAGGCCTACACAGAGTGTTCTACTAAAGGCAGCGGCAAGACTGTGTCACTGGCATTACTGATGTCCGTGGGCGACGATCACCATTTAACATCAAGTGGCCCGCCGTCCGCTCTTCTGCGTTCGAAGGAAATAAAATAAAAAACAATTATAACCTAATTAAAAACAGATGAAATGAAAAACACAACTTCCAAAATTAACAATTAAATTGTAAAAAAAATAAACTTTATTGTGAATGACATATTACAGAAATTTACGTATTTAGTATTATGACACAGTAACAAAATGCATATATCCAGGGACTGAAAAATCAAATCTTTGCACAGTTTGTGCTTAACTCTATGTTCGTGAAAGAACCTTTAAATAAATATCGATTCTGGCTTGATGCTTTGAAATTGAAACTAAATTTAAAATCAGACTCTCCTTTTCATTCTGTATAGAGAATGACAAGGATATACTGTTGGGTTTATAGAATCATGCTGACACTATTTAATTTTGATACTTTGTTGTGCTTTCGTAATGCAAATCACTTTTGTCTTCAATAAATTATGTTTTGGTAGTCACCAAATCACCCAACCAGGTACTTATTATCTCATATAATATTATTTCGAATTCGATAAAGTTTGTGAATCATTGTCGCATCACTAAATGTCATAATTTTGTTTTGGCAATTCGTGTTCGTTCAGAAATGATACGCAACCTAAGTTTATTTGTTTTTGAGGGTTTAAAATAAATAAAATCTAGGCACTTTCTCTATTACGGAATAGGTAAATAAATCGAATAAACTGTTTTGTTTATTTTTTATAAAATGAACAGAGTATATTTTGTAGCAGACCCAAGACCTTACCACACCTTAACTTGCCTTAAACCTGTGCCATAAACTTATGAATTCTCATTTCCCTTTGTCACTCCCTACATCTGTCACTCTATAGGTCACACCCTATATTATGTAGGTCACAAGAACGATTTCTCGCATCTTTTGTTTTAATGTGTTCTAATACTCTGTAGCAGATTTTTACCGATTAAAATAAGTTGAAAAACAACGTAACTTTACCTACAACTCTACCCGATAGGTGGCGCCACAGTCGGGATTTGAGGTTTTTTTATTAAATAGAATAATTTGCTCACCATCTTCTGTAAGGCGTTTTTAGATTGAGCAGGAAGTCTGTCATTTACCTTCCTCCATTTTACTTTAGTATCAGATATGGACTTAAAGCATTTACTTAAATAGTAGTGACGACCTCCGTGGCCGAGTGGTTTGTACGCCGGGTTTCATGGTGTCGCCGACTCGAGAGGTCCCGGTGGGGGCAGATGTTTGTGTGCTGAATACGAGCATTTGTACTCCAGTTATTGATGTTTAATATGTTTTTCTACATAAATATACTTATATATGTACAGTATATGTATTCTATCCGTTACCCTAGCATCCCATAACACAAGCCTTACAGTGCTTACTTTGGGGCTAGGCTAATTGGTGTGAGTGTTGGAAATATTTATTATTATTATTTATTAGTTTAGGGTGGCAAAATCCGCTTCTGTTGGGCTAAATGGCACGTAGGGATAGCTAGAAATGTCCGGACTAGTAGACAATAGTCCGGACTTTGTCCGGATCTTTAAATTGTCCGGATTTTTAAAATTATATAGAATACTAGCTGACCCAGCGAACTTCGTACCGCCCTAAAAAAATAGGGGTTGTCCAGCGGACAAAATTGTGAATCTAAACCATTCTCAGATCCCCTTGAACACACACAAAAAATTTCATCAAAATCGGTCCAGTCGTTTAAGAGAAGTTCAGTGACATACCCACTCACAGAAGAATTATATATATAAAGATGTAAAATAAAAGTACATATTGGTTTCATATTTCATCTACCAATGGTACCGTTTTGTGATTAAAAAGTGCGGACTTTTTTCGAAATGTCAGGATTTTTGTAAGGACTTTTGAAATTCCTAAATGGTAACCCTAACTGCGGGTGGGGCTGGATGCGCGCCTACGATGAAAAAGCTCTATAATAATTATGACAAATTCCTTATGACAATTGATATTGTATGGTATGATTACCGTATTTTTTTAATGGTATATAAATAAAAATTTCCTTCCATTCTTTTATCGCAACCGCGAATTTCGCCTATCCATTCCTTTACCTTTCCAACTCAGTGAATTCCTAACGGTCTTTCAGCTCTTTCTGTGTTCCGTGAGTAGCATCCCTAGGCTAGGCTCCCTCGGCGGTCAGAACTTTAAATCAGGCACTGTCTTTGGAGGTTACATGCAAGGACAAAGGTTGGTACAAGTGTTGCTAGTAGTAAATATTAGACCAGGGTCGATAATTTTAAAAATGGTGAAAAGTGAAAAAAAATTATAGTAGGATGAAACCCATTAGAAAAGGTATAACAATATAACAAAAATGAAAGGAAAAATAAATTACGGGCGATCTGAGGTCGGGAAGGGGGAGGGGGTGAGTTTTTAAGGGTAAAAAATGGTTAATCTCGATTTCCGGTAAAACTGCAAGTCCTATGAAAAAAAGTTAAATGGCAAAGTTGTAGGTAATAAAAAGATCTACAACTTTTGTATCGACACTTTTTTCACATAACCTCAAAATTTATGTGGAAAATGCGAATAACCGAGTTTTTGATTTTTATTTTTTGCAAAAAAAATAATTTTTCACGAAATTTGGTGAAAACTTACCTTTGTATGTCCCAAACATACAGTAATTTTTTTGATTTAAAATATTCATTTTTTCACCTTATTTTGACTTAATATCCAAAAAGCACCCTAATTTTCAATCGAAAATTGTCACGTCAAAATATCTAATTTTTTAAAAAAGTTGGGGTGTTTTTTGTTTGTTGTGACCTACCAATGGTCACATTCTCACTACACTAGGTGCGAGTGAATAGTGAGAATATGACCATTGTTAGGAGTATCGAGCGCAGTAAAAGACGACGTCAGAGCGTAGCGATATATCTGTCAATAACATCTACCCGCAATTACTTCAGTTACTCCGTGATCATGGCGCTTGCAACAGTGCCGAAATATCGGACACTATAAAAAACAAGGTACATGGTAACAATCCCGTTAATAGTTATAATGTTAGTAACCATGAAAATTTTAAAACAATATATTGACAAATGGCATTTGAGTGACATGAACTAAAACACGGCATAACTAGTCTAAGCGTATTCCGTGTTTATTAATAAGCTTAGATTAAAACAAAAAGGGTAGATACGGCACTAGCCTCAAGAATCAAGTGATCCGCATGAATTGTGGTCCACGACCCTAATCGCTTTAGTCACAACTTGACATCATCTTGACATGCAAACGACGTACATGTGAACGCCAAAAAGAAATATTGCTAATATTTTGTGTTTATATGATAAAACAATGCCTAAGTGTGTTTTTAAAAAGTGCTCAAATAGCTCAAGAATTAAAAATGACACCCACAGCATCACTTTTCATTCGTAAGTACTATAAAATATATTTTTTCATAAAAAAATTGAATCTTATTCGGTAGTGACGTCAAGTACTGGTCGCATGATTGGTCGGTAGTGCAGTGACGCGGATCTCGCCGTCTCGTTCGCGCTGCCGTTGAAACTTAACGTGCCGTTTCGTTCGGGTCGGTAATGCAGTGACGCGGATCTCGCCGTCCCGTTCGCGCTGCCGTGGGATCAGTTTTTGTTTGATGCAAGTATGAGCGTACCATATCTACCCTTTTTGTTTAATCTAAGTTAATAAGGGGCTCTGAGGGTCACTCAGCCACCAACGGCACTAGGTTAATGATGATAGCACACGAGCGTTACAAGGGTTTGAGACGCCTCTGCTTCCCAATCACCAGGATCCTATCCACCTCCTTCTAGACTGCTCAATATTTTTATCCTAGAGATATTATTATTTCTCTCATGTTTCTCTACTAATCTGTTAATTAAATATTAATAATACTGTTTAAGATCCCCAGCTGACTTAAGCATTTTTTTCTGTGCAACCACGAAGCTCGATGGCGCAAGTGGTTAGCGCGTTCGGCTGCGATCGTTGAACTTAAGCAACTTTCGCAGTGGTCGGTCATTGGATGGGTGACTAAAAATTACTATCTAGAGCTCCTCCGTGCTTCGGAAGGCACGTTAAGCCGTTGGCCCCGGCTGTATCTGCAGTCGTTAGCGCCCACCAATCCGCTTTGGGTTCGCGTGGTGGGTCATGCCCCAATCTCCCTATTCCATCCATAGGGAAGGCCTGTGCCCCAGCAGTGGGGACATTAATAGGCTGATGATGATGATGATGTTCTGTGGTCAAAACATATCTGTTGCTGTATTTAGGTAGGGCTCTGTTACAGGGTAAAGAAAAAATATTTTAATAAAAAAAATATTTATTTGTTTTTCCTAAAGTAACTGCACATTGAGCCTGAAAAAAAATAAAAAAGAAAATAATCACAAGGAGGAACTACGGCCTTGCTTAAAACTTACCTGTTTTTTAAGACACAACTTCTCAGCCATTAAGACAAAAAAATATTTACATATAAGGGAAAGATAATTATGTTTACGAGGCTTTACGCCTGCAAACTTCTCAAACATTAACCATTGTCAATGAAGCCGGTACAGTAGCAAATTTTCCCCAAAAAAAGTAAACTACGCAAGTTGATTTGTCTGTGGTATTCAACGATATTAAATACCGTTGCTTGGGTATTTAATTAAGCATTAGTTAGTTAGCAATGGGTACGCTAGCATGACGCCAAGCTAGCGTACCCATGGCTGTCCCCAAGAACGGCATATTAAATATATGCCGTTCTTGGGCAACGAATTTGACACACAAAAATAGTTCGCAAATAGTGCCCTGGCTTTACAAAATTTTATAATCAATACTCTTAAAGGACCAAAGATATTTAACTAAACATTCTTAGCTGACGTCAACCTGGTGTACCATAATAGTTCTCATAGAAAATTAACTTTTCTCGTTATCAAATCTATGTGTATAAATAGTGTGTCAAATAGTGCTTTAACAGTAAAAGTATTTTAAGTGAATTTACTATTTTTTTTATTTTCACACTAATTTGGCACTATTTACGCAGTATATAATGGCATAACGAAAAACCGTATATTGATCGTGGGTACGCTACCATCACGGACACCAGCAGTTTTACGTACCACACCAGCAATCCCATCCAATCTTCAAACCTCCTCAAAAGTTTGATTGCTGGATTATTTTTAAACGTAAATTCAAACTACATGAGTTAAACGTACTTAAAGGTTTTATTAGGTCGGCAGTGAGAGGGTGGCGGGTGCCGTAGATTATTATAATAATATAGATGTCTGATCTGCATCAGTCGTTTAATTCAAATAAAAAAATCATTCATTAAGTCTAGGCTGATAAAAACACTTGTGAAAGTTGAGAAGCCATCCTATGTTTGCAAATTTACGGCGGGAGACCTTTAATTGAACTAAAGAGAACCGGCAAGAATCTCAGCAAGGGCGGTGTTTTTCTTCCTATATTATTTAATTTGAGTCGAAAAGTAGATACCTAACATTTTTATGAAATAACAAATATCAACCAAGACCAATGTCAAAGTAGTTTAAGTTATTTTTTTATTCCGTGCCGTAGAAACTAGTAGTAGGATTATTTACAAAATTATTAAGGTATAAGTACGGAGTTCTTGGACTCCCGCGAGGAGATAAGGGATAAGGAGATACCATTAGAACCATTTCGAGAATGATTTCCGGAGCGTGAACGTGAACCGGAGCGTTGCGATGTAAACAAATCGCAGCGTGCGCGCGCGCATGCGCCGGACGAGCGAGTATCGGCGACACGGGCAGGGCAGGGGGCAGGGGCAGGGCGCGGAGGGCGGCGGCGCAAGCGCAGGGCGGGCGGGCGGCGCGGCGTCAGTCCGCGCGCGCCCTCGCCATGGCTCGCTGGCTGAAGGCCCTCGCGGCGCTGCTGCTGCTCACCGCGGCCGCGACCTCCGCGCGCAAGTCCGCCCCCGCCGCCCCCGTGACCAAACAGGAACCCCAGATCGAGGAGGTCACCGCCAAGCAGCTGGAGCGCGTGCTCGACGACAAGGACTTCGTCGCGGTGTACTGGTGTAAGTGCTGGCCGCCCGCCAGCGACCGCCGCGCCGCTGTCGAAACGCCCGCGACGGCGCCCGTCCAAATGGGTTACCCTCGAGTTAACGATCTTCGGCCGAGAGGACCCTCGCCGGGGCCCGCCGTCCGCTCGATATTTTCGAGCGGGTTATGCAACCGGCCGGCCCCGGAGACGATAAAATTCGACCCGGTCGACCGGCGCGGCGGCCGCCGTGGCCTAAAATGGTGGCGAGTCTCGTTTTCCCCTGTTCCACCGGTGCCGGTGCTGGCCGACGGCGCCGCCAAGGTCGCGAGGCGCCTACGCTCCGAGCTCGGCTAAAACTGTGTGCTGCTATCGCCGCATGTGTCGCTCGGACCGAGTCGATTACGTGCCGTTGGCATCCCGACTATTTCTATTGTAGACGGCCGTATCGATGTGCTCTGTTTGTTGACAAGTCGCATGTCCGACGTTCATGTAAAACAAGTGTAAAATGTGAGAGCCAGGGGCCGACGACGTGTCGATCAGTTACTTGACACGTCAGTTGTCTATACTTGTTCCGTCGGCTGTGAACGCATCACTCATTCCGAGGATGCAGCGTTCTGTCTCGCTAGACACAAAAAGTGCAATAAATCACTGTCGAAGCCGGGGCGGTTGCAAGATTGTTTGGCTGATGTGCTAGGCTAGTTGCTAGATCATTCTGGGCTTACTTTATTTTGTATTAGTAATTCCCCAAACCACGTTCCCTATATAAATGGGAGTTTATCCTATCTAACCCAGTATCTAACAACATTAACAAATCATAAAAAAAATAATGTTGTTTTAATAAAAGACATAATATACAGCTGTGCAACAGTAACAGTACTTAAAAGTTCACTGCTGCTTTTAGTAAGGATTAAGGCAAATCATAGTTAAATTGATCTAAAGTATCAAATCACCAAAACATCAACAAGAATAAAAAAGTATTTCCGATCGTTGAAGCAGATTTTCAGTGGAATTTAACGCAAGACATTCAAAAGCTAAGTTTGATACAGTTGCCATCATAAAGTGTTGTAAAAATAGTACAAACCAGTGTTTGTTAGAGAAAAGACATAATTACGAAAATGCTTGTATCACGGTTTCGCTTGGAGATCATCCAAATTCAAGAATGTTTTCATTAATTTCTGGATTAATGAAAACTAGGACGACCAACAAGAAAACAATAAGACAATTTAATTCGTATATAATAATACAGACAGACTAGTCGTAGATAAATTCCGATCAATCAACATCAAACACAATCTTTGGTCCCAAACTGAGCAAATATGATAATAAAGACAGATAGAATACAAGATTTGCTCAGTTTGAAACAAAATTACCGGAATTTATCTACGACAAAGTCTACTTGTATTATGTACAAATTGTCCTTGATTGTCCTACTTTACTTTTCATTAACCCAGGAAACAATGATAACATTCCTTAAATTGTACAAAAAGCTTAAATAATCTTCACAACTGGATTCTATTCAAACTGTACTACGGTGTGCACTTTGGAGTAAGAGTGATAAGCATGATTTGGAACGTTATTACAAGCTACACTACAATAATATGCTCTGCGATTCGAACCCAGAAACTGTGTTCGCTGCCGTTGCACCATCGCGGATGTAACAATGAGAATAAGTTAGGTGTAAGCAATCTAAGATAAAGCATCAGTTCAACAAGGCTAGACAATTTGATTCCTTAGAAAAAGTGCTTTTTAAAGATACGTTTAATAAGATTTGTTTTTAGAAGTTAATGATATCATATCTTCAATTGGTCGCTCTATCCGGAACCAGTAATTTTTTGAGATTTTAGAATAACAATAAAGAGACACCTGCACTACCTTCAGAAAAACGAACAAAAGCAAATAATCATTGTGACGTGTTTGAACTTAAAAGTTTGCGAATAATGAAAACCTAATTATTTAAAGTCTTGAAATTTTATGGTCTCAAACAATATTCATAAATCAAAATCAGAAACTGTGGAGAAAAACAGGCGAGAAAGGCTTCAGCGTAAATATTATCAAAAATATTATAATATAAGTGTCAAAACAATATCATGTCATCTTTATCATAATTATAGAAACAGCCTGTTCGAACGGCTGGGACGGTGTAAATCCAAGCATCTTTGTCTAAAATATAAATCAGACACCTTTTAATACGCTTCATTCATAAGATCTTTTTAGTTAAAAGTAGCTTTTTCATTATTGCAAGGGACTTTATTGTAAAAACGTACACAAAAACCTTTCAATTAAGTACTAATTTTGTGGAGCCTAGTACCTAATTGGTATTTATTTTTCCTGCGAGTGTTTATAACAAACCATATGAAACTAGTGGCGCCCGCGACTTCGTTCGCGTTAACTTTAGTTTTTTGAAAACCCTCAGGAGCCTAACGCTTTTATGAAATAAAAAGTGAAAATAGAGATAAAAAGTATTCTATATCTCAATCCAGGTCATAAACTATGTGCGTACCAACTTTACTGACTGAATATCGACCAGGGCACGAACTTTGACAAATCCGTAATCGTATCGTCACCGTCAAATTATGTATCGAAGGAGCCAGTTTGTACAACAATTCAATTTTTGGTGATTATGGCTGCGTCTCATTACGTGATGATCCTGCCAATGTCTGGGTTAAAAGATACAAGGTATATGCCGAGTTGTACGGTTTTGTTAATGTTGTGCAGTATGATGACTGCAGACTCGTAGAGTATCTGTAACAACACATAGACAGACATTTGTAATACCAGGTACCCATGCATTTAATATGGAGACACAGATAAATATATGTATTGATATAGTATACTAGGGTAAGAGGAGGGATTTTGTTGAGTTACTACAGTTAAAGTTTTATATTATTTTGTTTCAGCAACTTGCTCAGTATATAAATTAAGGGGGATTGTACTTGGGTTAGCATATAATTAATATTAATGGAACGGCTTGCCTTTTTTGGTAATAAATTATACAGGGGAACAGAAATTTTAGGGCAGTGAAACAATATGTGCTCAAGGGTCCCTTCATCTAACCCACACTCACAGAGTGAATGATCTCGTACTTTGATTTTGGACAGAAAACTGGAGTACATATATGGCCCAGTCTCATGCGAATGATGGTAGATATTATAGATTTGGGTATATGTTTGTGGCGGAAGAACCAAGGTTTTGATGGGATGTCAGGATGTAAGCTGCCATAGTGTTAACCCTTTGTTTGGTAAGTTTTTTAGTACATTTGAACTCAATCAGGCTTTGCACCACATTTCTGAATGTGGTGCCAAGAACTTGGTTGAATTCAATGCTAAGAAAACCCAGGTCTGCGCTTTCATGGCAAAAACATCGCCATTCCTTTCATGTCCTTCTCTTCAGGGCACAACACTGGAGCTAGAGAGCAGTATCACCATGCTCGGTATAGAAATTCGCTGTGACTTAAATCCTAAGAATTAAATCAAAAGCGTGGTAAAAACGGCCTCACGCAAACTCGGAGTCCTGAACAAGGTGCGGCGCTTTTTCTAGCATAACTGTTTTAACCATATGTCGGATATCGCGGGAATAACATTGATTTTTTAAATCCAGACCAACTGATATAGCGTTTTTTGCACATACATCAGCAGTTTGGTTGTCTTCAATGTCCTTGTGGCCTGGTATCCAGGCTAAGACGACTTTTAGATTGATCTTGTAGCAGTTAATAAGGGCTTACCTAATCTTAAGGATGATACTAAATTTTGTTTGGAGTGGAATGGATTCTTAGCTATGTCCTGCAGACAACTGAGGCAGTCTGAAAAGATTAAACATTTATTTAACTGTTCGGGCTAAATGTATGTAATGGCTTCTAATATAGCCAAGGCGTCTCTAAAGTTTACAGATATTAGGGAGGAGCATTTATAATTTAAGATGATTCTGTATTTTCGGAACCAGACTTCTATCCCAACCTTTCCGTTTTCCTTAATTTTGAGGCATTTGTAAACAGAGTGTACCAGTCATGCCAGTCTTTGGTCAAAATTTTTTTGGAACGTGTTATTTGCTTCCAGTGAGGATTTAGTTAGTTTATTAAGACTTTTAACTAGGGGAAGAAGTTCCTTATTAGTTCAGTAAGTTGAATTTATAGTAGGGCTTGCCATTTTTTTTAGTTTTTCTAATAGTGGGTGGTTTGAGTATTGTGCAATCTATACTTATAATAAATCTGTAGAGAGGTCAATTCTGTACATGAAATATATTTTCAAAATAACTATCAGGGGGTGATTAGTGATCGATACTGATGCCAAAAATGCAATCAGTAAAATTTTTGTCTGTCTGTCTGTCTGTCTGTGTGTGTTATGTTCCTTATAGAAACAAAAACTACTCGACGGATTTTAACGAAACTTGGTACAATTATTCTTCATACTCCTGGGCAGGTTATAGTTTACTTTTCATCACGCTACAATCAATAGCAGCAGAGTAGTGAAGGGAAATGTTGGGAAAACGGGAGAAGTTACTCCATTTTTTAAGCTTCCGTCGCGTGTGCAGCCTTAATGGTTAAAGTTACATAGAAATCATGTATGACGGAAATATTCTACATAAAATTGTCTAAAAAATATCCCGCAACACCATATGTCTATCTTTTATGGTTGACTTACAATAACACGTGTAATTACATAAATAAAGTCATTGTTTATAGCACTAGCCTGAGAACAAAAACTATAGTTTACACTACAGCTCTACACCGAAGCGAAGCGAGGGCGGGCCACTAGTATTGAATAAATATCTATCACTCATTAACTGGCGTCTAAGATGAAGCGGGGGTTCAAGGCATTCTACTTGCACGCCGTTAATTGGGGAGGAACGCATAGCGCCAGTAATTATGCTAAGACATTTGGATTGAATCTGTGCTATTTTCTTCAGAGCTATTTTATTGCAGGGTTCCAGTACAAAACTTCCATACTCGAAATGGCTTCGGACTATTGCATTGTATACCTGTTTCTGACTACAAGGGTGGCATGGACACCGGATAGAGATCCAAGGATATTGACAGAT